TTTTTTTTTTTTTTTTTTTTAATCTTCTTCTTCTTCTTCTTCTTCTTCTTTTCCTATTTGTTTTCTTCTTATGTTAGTCACAGAGGTATGTGCAAAACCCCCCGTTGAAAACGCACGTTCTGGTTTGGGTTCTTCGGGTCGGGTCGGGTCGTATTCCTAAATATATCTCACGACACGAAAATATCGAGATTCTCGAGTATTTTCAAGAAAACTTCTTCCCCTTCTCTCAACCCCGTGCGACGATGACATTTTGCTACTGCTGCGAAAAGGATTAGTTTTTGCTTCGAATAGAAATTTTCTTTTTTTTTTTTTTTTTTCTTTTTTTCTTTTTCTTTTAAATGTTGTAAATTTGAATTCCACGATATAAAATTATTTAAAGAAAATGTTCTTTTAGATAATAAAAATCTAATAAAAGTATATTGAAAAGATTATTTAAGAGAACCGTGTTGCACGAATAAATTAAAACGTTCCCTTTTCGCAATGAAATTAAATTCAATTTTCAATTTTCGTGATAATGTTTAATAACCGGATATTAATACTAATAACTTATCGATTCTATATAATTTATTATAATCTCTATCTAATTTTGTATTATATTAAAGAATAATCTTTAAGACGTTTAAACAAATCCCTTTTTTCTCGGATTACCATATTTTTGTCGATTTAATCAAAAACTATATTATCTACAAAGAGATGATTACTTACTTACTTACTTTACTTACTTTACTTACTTTACTTACTAACTTTTCCTTACTTTCGCAAAAAAAGATTTTATCATCTAACGTCTAAAAAGGGTGGGAACGGGTGATAGGAGGAAAAAGGGAAAGGGAATTACATCTATCGATGTGATAAATCGAAAATCCAATGAATTAAACCAATATTAAATCGTTTTTCGCATTGGTAATCTATAATCGGTGAAGTTGTGTGATTGGATGAGATGAGTTGGCGAACATAGGGGATGTAAGGGGTGGAAGTGAAGGTATAAAACGATTTTCCAACCGGTCCAAAGGAATCTCGTGGATGGATTTCTTTTTTCTTTTTTTTTTCCCCCTCCCTTTTCTTTCTTTCTTTTTTCTTTTTTTCTTCTTCTTTTTAATTCAGGGCTTATCGCAGCAAACGAAAACGTCAGATCTCGTCGGATCACGATTAACAATCGTGAACTAGGAATGTTCGTGAAAAATGCAGCACAGAATTTTCACGAAAAATTTTTCATCGAACCAACCATACATTCAACCATCACGTTTTTCAATTCCAAAAAATGTTTCTTCCTATTTCCAATGCAACATTTTTTTTAACAATTTTCTTTGTACGATTCAATTTTGCTTTGTTTTTTATTTTTTTTATTTTTATTTTATTTTATTTCCATTAGAAATCAATGAAGATTTGTTTCATTTCATTACTATTATTGTTATTATTATTATTATTATTATTATTATTATAAAGTAGTAGAGTAGTAGTAGTATTAGTAGCCAGTCGATTAATAAATATTATTCCATTGGATCTTTCCAATCTTTCAATATCTCTTCGATATCGTTTAAAAAAAGTTATTTCCATATTTCCCTTGTCGTAAAATCCACGAATCGTATTGAGAGAGAAGACCCGTCAAATCCGGAATTGGATAGGTAAATTCTATGAATATCATCTTTAACCCCTTCCCCCCTCCCCCATTTCTACTGGTGGTCAACTATGAGTGTGATTTTAAAGTGGTCGATTAAATAAATAAAAAAATAAATCAAATAAATAATGCATATACGTATTACAGTTTTGGATAGGACAAAAATAATTATAAACAATTTTTGATGAATAAATTATATATATATATATATAAAATAATTAAATCTTAATTTGTCTAAAAGTATTCTATATATAATATATTACTTATATATATATAATATAATATTATTTTTTTAATTATAATACTACATTGTTTATAATATGTAATAATTTAATATGTAATGTATAATAATATAATAATTATATTATATTTATAATATGTATAATTAATTATATGTTAATAATATTATTATAATATTATTATTATTATTATTATTATTATTATTATTATTATTATTATTATTATTATTATTATTATTATTATTATTATAGTAAAAATATAATTAATATATATATATTATATTATATAATATATTAGTTTTAAAAAAGCTGAATCGTAACAAGTTATGCAACTTCATACTTCTTCTTCTTTTTCTTTTACTTTTTCTGATAGGAAAACAAACAAAGTTCTAGTCGTGTAATTTCGATCTTTGATCCCATTTTTATGTTTTTCCATAAAGAGAAAGAAAGAGAGAGAAAAATACGATAAATCAGAT